GTCTGGCACGAGGAAAATGGCAACAGGAAAGCTCTTCATGTATGCTGGTGCCGTTCTTACCATTTTGTGTCTTGTCTTATAGGATTAGTGAAGGGCCTGTCTTCTGGGATTTCTCATTGTGGAGGATTAGGTTTTATACAGCACACCCACTCTAGCATTGCAATTTCCCTGAGTCTTAAAATCCCCTCATCGACACTAAGCCAAGGGATATTAGGCATCTCCAATTCCTTTTCAGCAGGTCATCTTTTGACAAATGCTTCAGTCAACAATTCAAACAATCTTTTGTTACCTTCATGCTCAAAGCCCTGGGTTCAGAATTTAACGCTGAAAACAAGCAAATACAACCCAAACAAGCAAACAAAACCCTGCAACTCATTATACATGATGTAAATATCATGCTTGTGAAGGAAATTCTCAATAAAATAAAATAAAGTAGAAAAAAAGAAAATTATGTCCTCAGATTTACAAGGGATGTGGACATGACTATGTCTTTCATTTAGTAATTATCCTATAAAGGTGTTAACATTTAAGCCTTAATCCACATCAGGACCACTTGTCACCTGGGGTAACTCCTTACTCTTCTGCTCTTCTTTGTCTGTCTCTGCAGAGAAGAGTTCCTTCTCTGTAACACAAGAGGCATCTGGTAAAAGAAGCCACCATCATAAGCATCTTTAGCTGTGAATTAGCAGCTGACATGGGTGAGCTCTGCTGTAAACTCAGCCTGAGGGCAGGCTTCCCTTCTCCAGGCAAATTAATATCAGAAGAATCAACCAGAAGTATAATAAATAATTGCTGTCCAACATGTGCTTCTAATTAAAATGAAGCATGTTTAGTCACAGTGAGAATTATCTGTGATGAAGTCGTTCATGTGGAAATGGGGAGACTTCTGATTTTTTTCCCTAAAGACGACTTCTCAGGGACCTGCCTTTAGTTGGGGCTCTTTCTGTATCAAGTTCCAGTTGCTTAGATAGTGTTTAAGGATGTTTCCTAGGCCCCTAGAGTCAACATAGCAGTAGAAACAAAAGCATTCTGTGATTATGTAATTTACTAAGAGAATCTGTTTGGGTTTTCACCCATTGGGATTACTGAAAAGCTCAAAATAACCATTTTATCTGTAACCTGGGGAGTTTTCTAAGTCTCCATATGAGCCCAGGCAGGAGAAGTGATAAATCTCACTGACTTATTAAAAAGGCTGACAACCTTAGTCTGCCTCTTTTATTTTCACACACACCCTTTGGTGTGGGTGTGTAGGCATATGCCTATAGTTGTGCATACACATGTGTATAGATACACATGGAGGCCAGAGAGACTACTTCCAGTTCTAAATGTTCACTGGGTGTTGTCCATTTTGTTTCTGGAGACAGGATCTCTCATTCTCTTAGAGCTTGTGGCCCGTTAGTCCCAGAGACCAGCCTATCTCAGCATGCTGAGTCTGGAATTACAGATGCCCCCTTATCATGCCCACAATTTTGTAATTCAGTTCAGACGGTCTAACTTGGGTCCTTGTGCTTGCAAGGCAAACATCTCACCAACTGTGCAATCTCCCCAGCAGCCACCTGCTTCTTCTTGAGAAAACAGGCAGACTCCAGGTGTGACACTTCTACACAGTATCATTTTCAAGATGTACTTATTTCTAATTTTATATATGGGAATGTTTTGCCTGTATGTATGTATGTATATGCACCCCCTGCATGCCTAGTATCAATGTGAAGGGCAGAAAAGAGTGTTTGATACCCATGGAACTACAATTACAGACGGCTGTGTGTCATCATATAGCTTCTAGGACTTGAGCTCAGGTCTTCCTCAAGAGCAGCCAATTGCTCTTAAACTGCTGAGCTATCTCTCCAGCCCTAATTTTACAGTATTTACATAAAAGAATAAAACAGTAAGACTGAAAATCAAAAAGCCAAGGGCTGTTCTGTTTATATTTTTTATTTTTATATTATCTTCTTTGTTTTCCATGTTAGGTACTCTTCCACCAGAAGGCCTGCTGAACCATAAAGGGTATATTCAAATTCAAAGCTAACTAACTTTACAAGTTTTGCATTCAGTTGCTAGAAGCTGCATGAAGGACCCAAACCACAGTCCTGAACCTTCCCAAGGAATGGTGTACACAATGACATGACAGATCAAGAAGCAGTTCAACCCCAGTGAAACCTCAGGACCCAAAAAATAGTCTAAAAAGAACCCCATTAAAGTATTTTAGTGATACAATAACACAGTGAATTAAGCATTTGGAACAAAATCCCATGGCAGTGCAGACAAATTATCAACACAAGGATTGTGTCTTTTTAGGAAAAAGGCCCTGCGAGGGACCCTGCTTTCTCTCTGCCCACAGATTTATTCAAACCAAGTCTCAAAGCACTAGTTTCTATTTCCTGGTATCCAAGAGAATCTTAGCAGAGGATGTGCTAAAGTTCTTCACTGCTGGTTGCTCTATCCATGTGCTCTGTGTGAACTGTGCTCACTAGTATTTTGTGCATCTAGATGGTTTCCTGCACGAACGTGGGTTATGTAGTAGCTCCTTGAAAGCAGAAGTGAGACAGAAGGAAGTTGTGTTAACTTTAGAATAGAGGCAGGGTTGAGGAGTGACTCGGGGTGTGTAGAAATGGCTTCTAGAAGTCTTCAGGCTAAACTGACCTTAAAAGTCACAGACCAATGAAGCCTTTAGAGCCCCTGCAAGCAGGCCAGCCTGTCAGAGAGAAGGCAGAGAACATCTCCAGCTGAGTGGAATTTGCTACCCAGTGATTTAGAGGTAGACTTTAGTACCTGCTGTATTCTGTGGTCAACTCAGATCATAAGAAATTAATTTTTTATAGTACATTAAACATATATGTATGGGTGTTTTGCCCGCAAGTCTTTCTGTGTGCTATGTGCTTACCTGATATCTGGGCATGTCAGAAGAGGGCATTAAATCCCCTAGAACTGAATTATAGACAGATATAAGCTGCTGTGTTGGTGCATAGACTCAAACTCAGGTCCTCTGGAAGAGCAACCAATGCTCTAAATCACTGAGCCATCTCCTCAACCCCTATTTTTTCTCCTCTAAGAAAGGCTTTCATATATATGAGACAGGCTATATATAGCTGAGTATGAAGTTAAATTTCTGATCCTCATGCCTCTATTTCTCAAATGCTGGGGCCACACACATATGTGTATATATAATATGCCACCATGTTTTGTTTTGTTTGTTTGCTGGAGATAGAAGAGAGGTTTTCATGCATGCTAGGCAAGCAAGCACTACATACTCAACCCACAAAATAGAAATGCTTAGAACTCAGATTCCTTGAAGTACCTTTAAAATATCTTTGAATGTTCTAAACATAAACATTTGGTCTTGCCGAGGTCTTCTGAGAATTTAAGCAGGGTTGGGGGAGCATCATTTTGTCTTGTTTTCCTGTAGTCACTACAGGGCTTGCCAAGCTTGTATTTATTTTCGGCCATTATCACCATCAAAAGTCTCACAAAGGCACAGAAATGATGTTATTGGGTTGTGGGGTAGGGAGAACATCAAGGCAGCCCCATAGGAGTCCTGGTCAATCCTGTTATCAAGATCACTCAGCCACCAGTGTCTCAAAGGGATTTCTAGGTCAGAAGCAATTTTTTATGTTTGTTTTACAATAATAATGGCATTTCCTCAGCTCCCGAGAAAATATGTAATTTCCACAGTGACCAGCTCCATGAAATGTCAGGTACAAGTACAAACTGGACTTAAACTGTGCTTCTTTTTTTTCCTTCCTAACCTTGTTTTCAAAGTAATTCCTTGGAGGCATGGTGCTCCCTGTAATGGTTAGAGACTGTTTATTTTTACTCTTACAAAGAGAAAGCTAGATCGAGCTGAGGAGCTACTACTGATAGTTGATAGCTACAGGGAGAGTCCATTTTCTTTAGGAATGTAGCCTCTGGTGGGTGCCCATTCTCCAGTGGACGGTCACACACACAATCATATATAGGCAGCAGTCACTGGACTCAATGGCTAAAAACAAGAGGGCATAAACTTTGCAGGGATATGTTGGAGGGATCTGAAAAGAGAGAAAGAAATGTGGGGTAAAATGATGTGTGTGTGTGTGTGTGTGTGTGTGTGTGTGTGTGTGTGTGTGTGTGTGTAGAGACAGAGAGAGAGAGAGAGAGATGCATTTGGAGGGTACAATACCTCCTGTCCTGTCATTATGTCTTGAGGGAGATGTGCTTCATTTGTCTTTGTACAACATGACTGCAAAGCCAACAGCTATCGACCCTGAAATCTACGTGAGAAAGAGAGTCACAAGGGAGAGTGAAAGGATATATGCCTGCTAAGTCCACCTCTATAAAAGCACTTTTGTAAAAATCACACCAAGAGACCTGCACTGATAATGCATGAGCCAGAATGGTGATATTTAATACCCCCACCCCACACTCCACCCCCAGATGAAAGAAACTGGGAAGCATTGTTGCATGTTTTCACCTGAGCACACTGCTGTCCTGATTAGAAATTTATTGGTGAGGAAGAAACACAGAACTGAGCATGTGTTAAATACCCACCTCACCACTTTGTCATGGAGACTAAGCACATCTGTGGACCACTCTTGACAGAGCTTGATGAAGCTGTGAAATAAGGGCACATTCTCTTCTGCCTCTTCTGCTCCCTCTCCCTCTGCCCCCAACTCTCTCTTTTTCTCTTTCTTCATTTGCTCCTCTTACACACAGACCACAGTACCCATTGGGCAGAGACTTGATGCCACAATTTGTTTTCTATCTAATTAACTCTGATGAATAATTTCATGTTTAGAGAGAGAGATACAGCATAAAAAATATTCAACTTGCCTCATTTATCATCAACGACAGTGCATTTAAAACCAGAAATACATTTTGAACAGAGCTGATCTGTGCTGTGTATAAAAGCAACTGTCACTTCACATGTAGCTGCTCCACATGCTGTTAAAAACCCATTATGTGAAGCAACATTCTCATTTTCAAGCAGTAGAGTCTACACTACAGGGAACAGAGGAATAAACACAGTGTTTCGCATTACTCTATCATCTTTATTGTTAAGGAAGTCATTGGAGGTTTCAAAGCATGCTATAAATCTGCATAGATGATCAGAGATGCGTGGGACACAGGAATGCTGACCATACATTCCACTCTGTGTGAACACGTAGTGCGATAGATTGTATTTAATCAGACATCAATGATCCCCTGTTTCAATGGCAGGCATCATGGGAGGACAGCACAAAGGAAACACAGTGCAGTGAAATGCACCTGCCTTCCAGAGAAGCAAATTCAAATTGGTGGGGAAAGCACTGTTACGGTGGTGATGATTTTTAGGCTTGGAAATGGAAATATTCTAATTTATACAAGTAATTGCTATTAACAAATCAAATTGTGTGTGTGTGAGAGTGTGTGTATTTGTAAACACATGGCTATATTGTATGGTTTAACTAATGGATTCTCCATTCATAAAGGAGTAAAGGTTAAACATGACTTTCATCCCAGATATTCAGTTTCAGGAGAGTTTTTAGCTTGCCCCTTGAACAGGTTATCTTATTTATAAGATATTAGGGATGAAAGATTTATTTACACATGTGTATTTGCAAAGGTACACAGTATTCTGCATTGATCCTGGATAACGGGAAGAAACAAAGAAAGAATGGGAGAAGGAGAAAAAAAGAAAATTACAGAAGAAGAAAGAAAGCCCTTCAATACCTGTTTGCTTTATTTAGCTTGGTAATCTTCGACTGCATGATTCAGTTCAGTCTACTTTTGAAATTAAGTTTAAGTAAGTGTGGTGTTTGTGTGTGTGTGTGTTTAAATTAAACAGCAGCTACATCATATACTCATTCCTAGCTCAGAAACAGTGGAAAAAATTCACAAATCATGCCAAGCCATAGCTAATAATTCTTCCGTTTATAAAGCTTACAGTGTCTGAGACTGGGTTCATGCTGAAAGGAATCAGGAATTAACTTAATCCCTTAACATGATAACAGAATACACATTCATCTTTTGACCTAAAATGTAATCATTTCCATAATATTTGGTTTATCCCTCTAATACACAATCAAATCAACTTCATTGCATTGTTTCACAAAACTGTTCATGCCTGCAACTCAAGTCGCCACATACACTGCCTCGCTGTCTTTAGGAAAAGTTCTGGCTCTTTTAACTCCTCTCTGCCTACATGTAGCCTCTCAGGACCAGGAGCCAACAACATTTATTCTCTCAGGTCTGAGGATACATACAACTGCCTCGCTGCTGCAGCCAACTCTGTGATGCCTCTTCACAAAAGCTTGAGAGCAGCGGGGGATATGAGCACAGACTTCTCCAAGGAGCAGAGGGAAAGGCCACTGCCTCACTTCTGGTCCCCATTTGTTTGGTTGAACCAAGGTATTTAAGAGAAAAATACTTCTCTAAATAATGATGTCTCCATTTCTTCTGCCACATGGTTAGGTTCTAGCACTTACCAATAACATTTTAGGCAAGTCTCACTGAAAGAAATCTTTGACTTGGTGGCATTATTAGTTTCTTAAAGCCACGACTCTGTCTTCTGATACCAATGAAAGGCAAATATGGTACCTCAAACCACACTTCATTTTACTTACATTTAATTTTTTTGTTTGTTTTTACTGAGACATGTCTTATTTGTTGCACTTAGGTTATGAGATATTATTATAAGCTCTCGTTGCATAATTAATTTATAAATGAAAATATTTACCTCTCTATTTTTAATCTATTCTAGCAGCCTCTCTTTTCTCCCACTCCTAAATATTCCATGTTCAAGAGAAGACACAAGTGTATGCAATAATGAGATTAATTGTAATCAATTAAGCTTCTTATAGCTTCCCCAATACAAAGTTTGCTACCAATGCCAAATTTTAATATTGGAAAGCTATGGAATTTTTAGATGATCACTTACCAATTTTAACCTGCTCTACTGTCTACTCTTGCTGCAAAGGGCAGATCTAACATTTTGTTTAAAAATCATGCTTACTACAATTTTGTGCCTTCGGGTAAGGGGCTGAAGAGGAGGGCTACATCTGGGATTCCATGGAGATTCTATTTAAAGTCAGGAGAGCCTTCTGATACGGGACTTCCTTGCACTCATCAGGTGGGGAAGCGGTGGTCTCCTCTGGGTTCTCACAGCTGCTCACAATGGCAACCGCGCTGAACGACCGCCTCCTGACATTGGTGTCTGAGGTGCACGACCCTCGGGCAGGGGATGTTTTCTCCAAGTTGGTGAGCTGTTGGTCTTTCCAGTCCAACTGTTTGGCACTGCAAAAGGGGGCATAGACTTCCACGCTTCCTTCAAACTGCAAGCAGTTCACTTTATAGTACTTTCTCTTCACTTCCAATACGTCATTAAACCGATGGCCCCAGAGAATTTCCCTGGGGACGTAGGAACTTCTAGACTGGTGGGATGTCCCAGTAGAATCCCCAGTGTAGATAAATGTCACTAAAATCTCGAAATTATCTTTGGCCACTGCCTTGCGGTCAAGGGCATACAGAGGACTCTCGTGGTCAATCTCATGGACAATAGTAACCGGGGTTACCAGGATGATCTGGTCATTGACAAGTTTGAGATCTTTAAAAGTCATGGTCATCCGCCCTTCGCTGTCTTCTGAGTAACGTAGAAGTTGGGCTCTCACTGTTCCCTCTACCACATGGTTTGGTCGGAAATCACCTATGCGCCACATGAGGCAAAGCTTCCCGTCTCTCATACCGATGAGGGCAAAATAGCTGAAGCGGATAGTCTGGGCTCTCTTCCGGGCAGTTGCCATCTTTGCCAAGGCTGCTCCAATAATGAAGGTGTTTATGATGCAACTTAAGATGGACTGAAGGATCACTGTCAGCACGGCCACAGAGCATTCTTCTGTCACACACCGGTAACCGTACCCTATGGTGGTTTGGGTCTCAAGGGAGAATAAAAATGCTGCCGTAAATGAATGCACATTGTCAACACAAGGTGTGATGCCTGGATCATTTAATAGATCTCCATGATGAAAGGCTATGAGCCAAAATATGGAGCCAAATATTAACCAGGAGAGAATGTAAGACAGAGAAAATATCACAAACATATGGCGCCACTTGGTATCCACAAGAGTGGTGAAAATGTCAACCATGTAGCTCCCCCATTCTCCAAAAATGTGTTTGAAGTACACGTTGCAGCTGCCATCTTTGTGGAGTAGGCGCCTTCTTGCTCTTCTCTTCTCAGCTATGGCATGCTCTGGTGGATAGCCTGGATATTTGGAGTCCACATTGACAATCCGGTAGCTACTTCCGTAATAGCTCATTCTTTCTTAAGTCCTTTAGGGCATCCAGGGGTGTTTTATATCAGTTAAAAGATCCAGGTGTGTTGTTAATTTGTGTGGTTCTTTGCTTTGCTTTCTTTCTTTTCTTTTTAGTTTTCAGTTAAATCCTAAAATAAAATACAGAACAAAAGAAAATTAAACAACAACATTTTAGCTATAAATTCCAGTTTCCATCTTGATGGTAGTTTGACAAATTGAGAGCAATTTTGTTCTATCTAAAGTACTAAATACCTCATTTGAACCATGGAGACATTCGGTATTGATTCAACATTTTGATATAGAAAGCAGCTCAGTTATTACAGGAACAAAATATGCAATTAGAGAAAATAAGGTTTTTATGTATACATAGTGTTTGAGTAAAGACTATGATTACCCCCAAATGGTACCTCACAACCCTTTCTCACCTGATAGAACTGGTTTTATACTAACACATTTTCTTGCATGAGAAAACAAAGCAATCTATAATATACAGAAATGAAGTAAGATTCACTTACAAGATTTCCAGCTACTAATGCCAGAGCAATAAAGAGTTTCTACCTTTGGTTGGTAATGGGCCGGCCGCCCCGTGTCTGGCATAGGCAGCCCCACACCGTGGCTTCTTCTCTGTCCCACTTGGGTTTTTCTTCTTGTCTACTTCTCCAAACAGAGCAGGATGAATAGTGACATCTACTTCTGATTAAACTCCTTTGCTCCTAGCTCCACCCTTCCCTTGATTGGAAAAGAAAGCTTTCTTAACCCCAGAGGAGTTCAAACCACTCCCAGACAAGCTGCTGTTGAGGTATAAAGTTGCCTCTGCTCTTGTCTCACAGCCTTCATCCATGCTTACTGCTCTTTGGTTTTTGACACTAACAGCTCTTCTCTTTCTCTCTGAAAAGTAACAAAAATTTTGCCAAAGTTGTAAAGCTTGTTTCACTCTTAAAGGGAGCATACCACCATTCAATAGACACCCCCTCTCTTAGCTCTTGGGTGTTTTCTCTGATGCATGTGCTGCTTTCCCTGAGCAAAACTGATTGCCAAGGAGAACATACAGTTCTCATTTTTTGGCATCCGTGTCTAAAAACACCTAAGTCTGAAATTAAACTTTAAAGAAGTGATTATCAAAATAGTTCAGCTATTTCTGTGTAATAACATCAGCACACTTAATGGTCCAAGAGTTATTGGAATATGTCTTTGATATGATCCACCTGTGATAGACAGATAGAAGAAATGGAGTCTAGAAAGACAGGCAGGAAGATCCCACCATCCATTCAGTCACAGGTAAACTCAATATGACTAAATACTACTCCTTAAAACTCATGTGTGAATTAATCACTAGAGATCTACCTCCTTTCCTACTGCAGAAGAGAAGAAAGAGTTAATGTCTCTCCAGCCAGACAGAAAGAATCATTTTCTCTCTCTCCAGGGATCAGGCCCACTTTACAAAGAACTCTTTGTCTAGGGGACCACTCACAAGGATGGACTGTGCTTATGGCCAAAAACCCTGTAAAGCATTATGGCTTTCTCTCTCTCTTTCTCTCTCTCTCTCTCTCTCTCTCTCTCTCTCTCTCTCTCTCTCTCTCTCTCTCTCTCT